GCCAGAAGAGGGCATCAGATCTCCTAAAGCGGAAGGGCCAGCACATTGTGAGCTACTGTACTCTACAGCTGAGGCATCTCAGGGGTCCCATGGCTGTGTGCTTAAAATGGAACTCCAACCCTTAATTCCTCCTGATTCAGACATCATAAGTAAACTCTAAACTTCCAGATGATGTCACGGGAGAAGGTCTCAATAACCTCAGGACTGGTGAGGATTCCCTGAAACTGACAACAGTGCATGCAGGCTGCGAAAGGAAAAGAAGCCAATAAATTAGATTTTGTCAAAATTTGGAACTTGCCCTTCAAAAATCATTGTTATTAAAAATGAAAAGCCTCTCGTAAAAAGTTTTTTCAGGTTGGGCAGTGGTGGCGCACACCTTTAATCCCAGCACTCGGGAGGCAGAGGCAGGCAGATCTCTGTGATTTTGAGGCCAGCCTGGTCTACAAGAGCTAGTTCCAGGATAGCTAGGGCTGTTACATAGAGAAATCCTGTCTCGAAAAATCAAAAAGAAAGAAAAATAAAGAAAAGGAGATCTGAGAAGTGATTCTGTGGTGGACACTGGTCTAGTGTGCGTAGTACCTTGGGTTCCAGCCCCAATACCTACCCCTCAAAAGAAATAGAGTCACTGATACAGGCATGAAAAGATGCCCAGTACCACTCATCACCAGCAGAGGGCAAATTAAAGCTGTAAGGAGGGCCTGGCGGTGGTGGTGCACGACTTTAATCCCAGCCTTTGGGAGGCAGAGACAGGTGGATCTCGGTGCGTTTGAGCCAGCATGGTCTACAGAGTGAGTTCCAGGAAAGGCAGGACTGTTACTCAGAGAAACCCTGAGAGGGGCTGGAAAGATGACTCAGCAATTGAGAGCACCGGCTGCTCTTCCAGAGGACCTAGGTTCAGTTCCCAGAACCCACTTGGCAGCTCACAACCATCTGCACCTCCAGTTCCAGGGGACCCTATGACTTCATCTGACCTCTGTGGGTACCAGGCACATACGTGAAACACACACATACATACAGGCAGAACATTCATGCACATAAAATGGAAACAGAGTCTTAAAAAGTAAGAGGAGAGCTGGGTGGGGTGGTGCACACCTGTAACCCCAGCATTTGGGAGATGCAGGGAGAAGAATGCAGGTGAGGGTTTTCCTCAGCTACAGAGCAAGTTCCAAGCCATCCTGGGCTACGTGAGACTCAGTCCCAAAGGAAGGGATGGAGGTGCAAAAGAAGGGAGAGAAAAACTTCAAGAAGACACCACTTACACTATAGAACTAAGACTTAAAATTGACGCATCACTGCCCAGAAGCACTTGGGTTTGCAGCGTTGCTCAAGGGCTGTAAAAGCACAGCCACTTCACATCAAAGAACCTGGGAGCCCTTACAGAGGTAAGCCTAAATCTACCCAGCCATCCACCCCGGGGATTTAGCCCAAGAGATAGCAGATCCCATACTCACACATAGTTTGCATGTGAATGTTCATAGCAACTTTCAGTGATTCAACATTCCAGAAAGATGTAAGACAGACTGTTCCCGTGGGGATAGGAGTAAGATGGGAAGAGAGGAAGGGTTTACTAAAGATTTTAGGAAATTTTCTCTTACTTGCTGAGCCATTTCTCCAGCCCCTGAGTTCCAGTAGGTCTCATGGGATCCTCCCCCGACCCCGTACCAGGGACTGAACCTAGAACTTTCTGTGAAAGGATTTATCCCAGTCATTCTTCTTCTCTTTGAGACAGGCCTGGTTAAGCTGTCCAGGGAGGCCTTGAACTTGTGCCACAGCTGCCTTTGCCTCTTGAGGCTCTGAGAACAGAGAAAATTTTGGCAGGTGTTGGCCATGCTCATGTTCTATAGTCTGGCTAGGTTGGTAGGCATATGCATAAAATCTCTGTACTTCTAGATTCATCTATTTATGTGCGCGAGAGTTTTTACAAATGCGTGCTGGTGTGCTGTGCTTGTGCAGATGCAGAGGTTAGACGAGAGCGTCCAGTCCCTCAGAACTGGAGTTACAGGTGTCTCTGGAAAGCCTGGCTTGTTACCTGGGCACTGGGATCTGAACCCTGGGCCTCGTGATTGTGCAGTGCACCCTTGTTCACTGAGCCGTCTCTCTAGCCCCTATAAAAACTCTGGAAGTTGTAAATTTTTATCATGTTCATTTCACTTTATGTCCCTGTTAATAAAGTCACAGCAATAAAACAGGGCCACACAGAAAAGAAAACAGGAACATGGCTTGGTTATGAGTAGCACAAATAGTCACATAGTGTAATTACTGAGTGTATTAAATTATCAAAAATAATTACTCAGGGCAGGGTGGTGGTGGTGCACACCTTCAATCCCAGCACTCAGGAGGCAGAGGCAGGCAGATCTCTGTGAGTTCAAGGACAGCCAGAGCAATACACAGAGAAACCCTATCTCCAAAAAACCAAAATAACAACTCAGGACAATGCTTATGAGAAAGGGAAGAGATAGAGATAGAAAAAAAAAACTAATGTTCTCTAATGGAAATTCAATAAAGTCTAAAGTTGAAAAAATATGTGGCTCAAAATTGGTACCCTTGGGCTGGCAAAATCAAGCCCAATGACCTGGGTCTCATCCTGGAGCCCACAGGGTTCTGCTCCCGAAAGTTGTCCTCTGACCTCCACCTGAGCAGTCACCTCATCCAGCCCATCACCTACACAAGATACAATTTTAAAAGAGAGGAAAATAAGTATGTTATTTAAAGCATAAATTCTACAAGAGCCACTAAAAACTGCACCCTCTGAAAAAGGGGAAGTTGGAGATCGCACCCTTCTGGAGCATGCAGTTGCATAGGTCTCTGCTCAGTGGCTCAGGAGGCAAAGGCAGCTGTGGCACAAGTTCAAGGCCTCCCTGGACAACTTAACCAGGCCCGTCTCAAAGAGAAGAAGAATCACTGGGATAAATCCTAGTCATCAAGCCTTCACAGAAAGCTCTAGGTTCAGTCCCTGGTACCGGGTGGGGAGAGGACCCCACGAGACCCGCTGGAACCCCAGGCCTAGAATCCCAGCACTTGGGAAGTAGAGACAAGATGATTGTAAATTGAGGGGCTGGAGAGATGACTCAGCACTTCAGGGAATTTGCTGCTCTGGCCAAGGATCTCAGTTCAGTTCCCGGCATCCACATGGTGTCTCACAACTGTCTGTAACTCCTTCAGTTCCTGGGCATCGTGCAGGCACTCACATGAGTAAAGTAAGATTAATGTTTAGAACTTTTAAAGACAATTTCAAGTTCAAGGCCAGCAGGGCTATGATACATATAGATATACTGCCACCCCCCCCCAAAAAAAACCACCTTAGATTTAATTAATAATTAGACTAACCATGTGAAGGTATAGCTTTACTATTAATTAAAACTTTTATTTGTGGGTGATCACACGTTCATGTGGGTAGATTGTGAGAGTGTGTTTGACAGCACCAAAGGTCAGCCGTAGGTGCTGTTTCTTAGTGGTCATTCACCTTGTTTGAGACAAGGTCTCTCCCTTGACCTGGAACTCAATTCTTAAGCTAGACTGTCTGGCCAGGGAGCCCCTGGGTCTGCTTGTCTCTGCCTTCCCAGAGTTATACTCAGCTTTTCTATGTGGATTATGAATGTGGAACTCAGGTCCTTGTGCTCTGACATGCTTGCCTGCCGAGTCCTAAATTAAAACTTTAATTTTAAAAATTGTTGTTCTACATTAGACTTGGTTTGTGTGTTCGTGTCCATGCCTGCTGTAACACACGCATAGAGCTCTGAGAACAACTCACAGGAGTCAGTTTTCTGCCTTCACCGTGTGGATCCCAGGGATCAAACTCACCTCATCAGGCTTGGCAGCAGGTGGTTTTACTATCTCTCTAGTCCCAAAATTATAAATGTGTTATCTGGATCCTTGACACTCACTGCCCAGAATTCCTAGGTTTTCCCAACTGCTGGAGCTTCTGTGCAGTCACACCTGCAGGCCAGGCTAAGACAGAGGTTCAGATTGGGCTGGAGAGATGACTCAGAGGTTAAGAGCACTGGCTGCTCTTCCAGAGGTCCTGAGTTCAATTCCCAGCACCAGTATCGTGGCTCACAACCATCTGTAATTTGATTGAGTTCCCTCTTCTGGCATGCAGACAGAATACTGTATACATAATAAATAAATAAATTTAAAAAAAGAAGGAAGGGACCGGATTTGTAGCTCTTCAGTCTGACTGTGTCCCTAAGAAGTCTTTAGATTGATAACAGAATCCTCTCAGGAGCATAGGGCAGCTTTTGTTCTGAAGAGCTACAGTGACACCTTCCAGGGAGCCGAGCAAGAGAATACATATTTCGGAAGGTTTTTTAAAAAGATTTATTTATTTTTATTTTATGTGTATGAGTGTTTGTATATATGTATGGGTACTTGCTACGTGTTGTGCAAGGCCAGTGGAGGCCAGAAGAGGATGTTGGGTCCCCTGGAACTGGAGTTAGAGATGGCTGTGAGTCCTGATGTAGGTCATGGGAACTGAGCTCCAAATCTCTGCCAGAGCAGCAAGTGCTCTTAACTATTAACCCATCTCTCTGGCCCTGGAAATGTACATATTTAAAATATGCCTGCACAGGTCTAGGGAACTGGGAATTGGTAGAGTGTTTGCCCGGTTTGCACAAGGCCCTGGGTTCGATTCCCCTGCACTTCATAAACTACACACGTAATACATGCTCGTAATCCCAGGACTCAGAAAACAGGAGTCAGGAGGCTCACAAATTCAAGGTCGTCTCCAGCCATAGTGAATTCAAGGCCATTCATATCTACCTGAAAGCCTGTCTCAAAAAAAAAAAAAAAAAGAAAAGAAAAGAAAAAGAAAAAAAGAAAACAAAAACAACAAGCCAGCCATGCTTACAAGCCCAGTGGTGCAGGACTAGTCTAGCGTGTGAGAGGCATAATGCTACATTGTTTCCATCTAGTGTAAGAGGTCGTAATGCCTTTGAGGAAATGCAGTGTTTGAGAGCTGATCAGCAGCCACACTAAGTCTGTCTTTCTTGTTCCTTCTTCAGGTGGGCACTTCTTTCACCGGAACTCCCTGTCGCCTCGTAGCCTGGTGTACGAGAGTGAATTCTCTACAATTGAACCATCCTTGGACATGTATGATGAGAACAAAACCTGATTTGTTTTTTAAAAAAAAAATATGGGCTGCTGGGGGTGTCTCCTTTTGAGATTTGATTTATGGTCACTTTTCTTATTTTGTATTTTTTCTGTCATCATCCGTTTTGGAAGAATGGCAGTACCTCTGGGTGCAAGTTGGGGTTCAGAGTTAAATTGCAGCGTTCCCCCAAGGTGAGGTTTGAGGACAACGTTATTGCCCAGGTGAGCCTCATGGTACTGAATACCCACCTAGAGCTGACCACTGAGCATGGGCAGCCCGCGAGCCTTGCGGTTTCCAGAGAAGAGATGGGGCCAGGGGCTAATGGTGTGTTTGTTACAAATGTGTCTGTGTCCCCAAATAGTCTCACGCTGTTCTGTGTCAGGGTGCCACTGGGGTTTTGTAAAATACATTTTGTGGTTCTCACATGCACACGAAAGCCTGCAGATAAAATGTCCCACCAATGCAGAATCTGAGTCATGGCTCCTTGGCCTGCTTCCCTTTGTCCTCTGTCCCTTACTACATTTCCCAGTGAAAGGCCTCCTCCTATAGGGAGTCCTCCAAGAGAAGATTCAGATTCCGTTCCCCCTCTGAGACTCTAGCCACCTGTTGTCCTGCAGAACTTGGAGGACACAGGCCACAGGGTCGGAGTCTGCTCTCGCGGGATCAGACAGTCATCTGCTTTGTCGTTCTCCAGCGTCTGTGATGAGCACGATGTGAGATGAAAAGTATTTACACAGACACTAGACATGGAGGGCTGCTGTCCCCACTGCCTGTGGTACACAATGACCACATGGGACAAGGTCGACAGTCATCAATACCAGAATAGTTTTGAATGTTTTATTGGGAAGTCCAAACCAACATCCTGTTAAATAACAAATGGGGGACCCCCCTGTTCCATCTCAGTTGTCTAATCCAGTGGCATCCTGCCAGCCTCAGCACCAACATGAAGAAACACTGGAGTGCTGGCAGCCAGACTTTCAGAAGAGGATGCTCTGGCCAGCATGGTGGACACATGGGGACACGTGTATTTGTCTCACACATCCAGAGTGACATCAAGTTAACATGAGAAACGTATGGCCTACAGTGTGGGACCAGGATGAGCAAGTCGCCTCCTTGCTGCAGGAGCTCCTACCACAGTCAGCCGCTTCTCACCAGAGTGTGAAGATGTTCGGATCCTGGTTAGGGGAACGCGCTCCACCATCCAGATGTGTGATGGGGAGGCTTCCACCCTGTCACTTTTATTGGCTCTGTGGGTCATAAGTCTGAGGCACATGTGTGCCATATTTACACATGTGGCTTCTTCTCTCTCACGTGTCACTAAGATCCCTCAGATGCCCCTGTGCCTGAAACAGAGCCTCAGAGAACCTTAGTGTGGACAGCCTGTAAGAACACGGTTGCAGGGTGAGCCAACATGCTTCGCTTGAGTAGTTTGAACTGGAACAGGGCCGACCTCTAAGGTCCTAACTGCTTTCATCTTTACCGCTTACCAAGGGCTTTCGTCTTTCTTTTTTATAGTCTTTGTACTATAAAAATATTTTTGATAAAGTTTCAATAGATTATCATTCTGAAAGACAGGTTCTCAGCGAGAGCATTCTCAGCAGGAGAGTGGACTGCTAAGGTCCAGAGGCACAGGCGCAAGTGTTTTGTGTGGCAGACTGGGTGGATGCTGTCATTGCCGTGCTGTTTGTAGCCTGGCCTTGTTTTCTCCATAACCAAAATTCAGATCCCAGTGAACCATGAATCATTTTTCTTCAGGTCTCAACAGTCTTATAAAGGCACAAACATTAAATTCCACTCTAGACAGTTTCTTTACAAAAAAAGAAGAAGAAGAAGGAGAAGGAGAAGGAGAAGGAGGAGAAGGAGAAGAAGGGAGGATAGAAATTGCTTGGGGAAAGAATTTTTAATTGAGTTCTCTAAAACCTACTGAGACAGTGTTTGAGTCCCTGGGAAATCCAGGGCATGTGTTAGCAGTAGAACAGCCAAGGAGGCAGTTCTTAGGAAGGCATTTACTCAGAATAGTGCTCCAGACACCGGGTTGATCCCTTTTCCTGAAATCTTGGGCCACCTTCAGCTCAGCTCAGAATGTCCTGTGTTCATCAGGAGGGGACCGGCTTCTTTGTTGAGGACACGTGCTTTGGGACAACAGAGGACAACGGCTCCCTCCCAGCAGCTATGATGAGGGGACTCCCGTGAAGCCACCCAGGTCCCCAGGTGGAGCTGGGTGAAGAACCTTTCCTGGCATATGCCATAGGACACACACAGCAGGATCTACAGCCACAGGCAGTGTTAGCTATAGACTGGACTGCAGCAGTTTGAATACAGAGGCTTAAGCTTTTGAGATACCTAGCTTCCGTGTGGAGGAGCCACTCTGGGCCAGTTACTTCCTGGAGAAAGGAGAGCTGACTGGGCGGACGTCCAAGTGTGAAGACATCTCCAAAGGGTCTCTGGAAGTGATGAGGGTGTCCATCCAGGGCCCTGCCTTTGCTTCCCTCCTAGAAAAACAGGCTCTACCATCAGCAGCTGAAAACCCCTTCGAAGGCCTCCATCATCTCCTGGCTCCTCTCGCCATTCCCTCAGGGAACATCTATAAAGTACATCCCTGAACGCCAATCCATCCTGAAGCAGAGTCTGTGCTCTGCATTTGCCCTGATTCATGACAGCCCCAGGTCCCTAAAGGTGTGGTCAGAGAGGCATGAAGCAAGAGATTACTGAATTCTACTAATTGGCACATCCTGTGGACTTCATGTCTTCCTAGTTCTATCACCCCTTCACCTCCATGCTTTCACTGATCTTTCTGCTAAATGACACCAGACTAGGGAAAGTCCACATCTTCTTTCGCTGTTAACCTTTACTGTGGGGACTGATTTCACATCAGAGGTCCTCCTGACAAGGGGTCACTGCTCATAGATGTCAAGAGAGGAAGCTGCAGACTGTGGAATCTAAGCCTGTGGCCTTTGGAAGGTGAGGCAGGACCATGGAGGTAGTTGGTCAGCAGCCCTTTTCATTTTATTTTAGGTCTTTTCTTTGTTGTTTCTTTGGAGACAGGGTTTCTCTGTGTAGCCCTGGCTGACAGCTGTCCTGGTTCTCACTCTGTAGACTAAATGGCCTTTAACTTGAACTCAGAATCCTCTGGCCTCTGCCTCCTGGGTGCTGGGTTTAAAGGCGTGCGCCACCAGGCCCAGGCTGTTGACACTTTTTATAAAGTCCTCATTGTGTGACTTTTATGCTTGGAGTTGAGGTGGATCAATAGTCAGGAAGACTTGGAGGGTGAGGGTGCATCTCAGTGGTCAGACACCTCAGCACTTGTGTGTGTCTGGGTGTCCTGAAAACTTGGGCATGTTGGCAACAGTCTACAGAGTGGGAGCAGTGACATGGGGATGATGGGGTGAGTCTCCAGGAGACAGTGGCCTGGGCAGAGGTGTGAGAAGAGGGTGATGGGGTGAGTCTCCAGGAGACAGTGGCCAGGGCACAGATTGAGGGGCCAGTGCCTGCTGAGTCTGGGGGAAGGGCCCTGAGGACGAACAGGAGGAAGGCAAGATTCTTGGGTTTGAAGCATCTCCCCTTCTGGGGCAGGGGATGCTTCAGAACTTTGCTTAGAAAAAGAACACTATGAGCAGTAGGCTGTGTGAGAGGCAAAAGGCAGACTGGCTAGCAGTTGGCTTAGAACCGAGGGACTCCAGACTGAGCTGACTAAATGGAAGGAAACAAGGGGGCTATGAGATAGAAGTGGAAGTCAGATTTGTTTGTTTATTTCCTCCTTTTTTTTCCAAGACAGAGTTCTTTGTGTATCCTTGGCTGTCTTAGAACTAGGTCTATAGACCAGGCTGGCCTCAAACTCATATATATCTGCCTGCCTCTGCCTCCCGAGTGCTGGGACTAAAGGCGTGTACCACCACCACATGTCCTGGAAGTCAGATTTCTAATCTCAGTGATTGGGTGAATGTTGGTAGGGTTCAGGAGAGCCCATAAAGCCCAGCCCTGACGTGGTCTCTATATGATCACAGTCCCTGGGAGGCACTGCATCTTCCCCTCCACTGTCCTGTGCAGAAGTCTCTGCACTAGGCATATATGCTCACCCTGGCAGAGGTGGACCTTCAATTTCAATGGTGGTGTCAGCCAGAGAGAAACTGGGCTAGGGAACATTGATTGTATGTCTGGCAAACAGAAAAAGCTACTGGAAACACTAATGTAGAAAAGTAATTGTGCATAATCTCCCCATTCAGGAAAGGTGGGCCTGCCAGCTCTCGTTCTCCAGCATAAAGAATGGGACATCTGTGTACTTAAACTCAAACGTGGTCCCTTTTCAAGGGAGAGGAGATGAGAATAAGGAATCTTATCACAGGCCGACTCTCCTGACACCCACAGCTTAAAACAAGTGCCTTTCCGCCCAGATCCACACGAGGGCCGTGCTCACCAACAGCGTGTGGCGTGCTGCCTTGTTTGGGCCCTGTGGGTGCATCATTCCAAAACTTTGGCACAGCCCCCAGTTAACCTGTCCAGAAAGCAAGGTGTGCAAAAGATGCTTGGGTGTGGTTGAGGTCACTGCCAGACTGGAAAAACACCTTCCAAGCTGTAAGTATTGTGACTTCAGAAAAGGACCAAAAGGAGTGCTGGGGACTACGATGCCTGAGTCTGCAGCACAGAGCTGTTTGCCTGAGTGTATCTGGAAAGTGCAGGAAAAGCAAAGCCAATAGAACGCTGCTCTTGCAGACTCCTTGCGTCTGGCCGACTGGCCCCTTGGCCCTCTGCAGATCACAGTATTTACAAGTCACACCAACCTGTGGAGCCTGGGCGACAGGGGCTGAAGTTAGTGGTCAGGAGGCCACCTTGTAGCCAAGGAACTCCTTAAGGGCTCTGGCGGGATTGATAGTTCCACCCTTCTTTATCAGTGATCCCAAAAAACTGACCTTTGATGAGGACAGGCCAGGTGTCTTCCAGAGCTGTGACTCCACCAGCCTATAGTGACCATAGAGGCAGAGAGAGCTGTCAGCCTCAGCTGCTCAAAGGGTGACATTTTAGCACTGCAGACACGGTTCTCAGAGCCCTGCAGGCTGCCCAGCCCCTTGGTTTCCCTCCTGCATTCCTCCCAAGGCTTATACTCTTTTTCCCCCTGTTTTCGTCACCCTGACTTGGGAAAAAGAAGGAATGTATGGCAAAGGGCAGAATAGCCTTTAAGCTTCGTACAACCCAAGTACTGAACTTCCTGGGGGATTCACTGCCACCAGAGTAACTAGGGCCTCTGCCCCAGGATCACTCAGTTTCTGCCTACTGACTCTTTTCCATGGGACTGAGGTGGCCCAGATCCCCCTTCACAGCCTAAAGGAGTAATCTTTCTCAGAAGCCTTGGCGATGGCTGGAGCTGGAGCCGGAGGCCTCACTCAGTGGTTAGCGCCTGTTCAAACTGTCCTCAGGCCCCTCCTGAGGACAGGCGCAGCTGACAAGCTGTCCCCTCCCCCTGCAGCAGGCCTCCATCCCCCCACCTACCAGTGCCCCTGGAACACTTGATGCTGATGCTTGATGCTTGATGCTGATGTGACACATTCTTCCCCAGTCCACTCTGCTTGCTGGTCAGGTGCATGCAAGCCTGCCGTGGCCTTTCATCAGATTCCCCTCCCTGTCAGCGAGCCTCACCTGAGTCTGCGCACCTGTCCCAGCACTGGTAACCACTAACATTGCCCTACATTTTTACAGAGTGAACCCAACACGACATGAATTCTAACCTGCTTTTGGAATTATCAATTAAGTCTAAATATATTTGCATTATGATATTAAAGGACTTTTCCGATGACCGGAAGGCATTGAACCAAAATATCTGTTCTAAAAATCATAGGAGAGTTGGGTAAAATGTGACATCCCAAGCCATATTTTTTCCTTTAAGTAAGCAATCTACATCTGCCAACTGCCTCTCATGCTTTATGCCTCAGTTACTAGATATGGCCTGCTTCCACGCCAGACCTTTTGGGGGCAGCCACAAGGACACAGCCCCGGCTGACTTGCTGACCCAGCTAGAAGACAGCTTGCTTGGCTGGCTGATGCTCGGGATAGAATCTGGTATCTTCTGCCCAGCATGGGAAGTGAGATGGACTCTTGAGTGGCCATACCTCTTCCGAGGACGCTGGACCAGTGTTGTTTACAGAAACAGAAGAGTCCAAGCTGGGAGGTGATGTGGGTGTGGGGTGGAGGAAAACATTGTCTCACAGTCACGTGCTGCACCTGTAAAAGGACAGTCATCAGTTTCCATCCTAGGCCCCATGTATCACAGCTGATTCTGACTCTCGGTAGCTTTTACATTCATAAAAAAACACTGACGTCACCCCTTTCATATCTGGGTTACTCGAAGAGCCCCACTCATTCCGGGTTCCTGCTGACTATGCACAACACCTCAGAGGACGGCGTACAGAACTATTTTTCTAATGTTAGCATAGATAACTTGAGGTGAGGACGCTGGGAATACAGCTAAGGCAGATGGCAAGGTGGGGCACCTTGAGGGATAAGAGGAAAACTATGCACTTGAATTTCTTTCGCCAGTGGATACCTTGTGCCGGAAAGAGCACACATCGAGGACTCAAGGAGCAAGATTGCTCGTTAGCTTCATTCAGGACTCACTGTAGGGGGTTACCCTGTCAAGAACACAGACACCTGCAAGTACAATGTGAACTGATTTCTTGACAATCACATCTGTCAACCCCTGGACACGGGCAGCACAATTCCTAGGTCCATATGGTTGATGTAAGTATATTAAGTAGTGAAATTGTCTGGCATGTACCTCTATGCCAATAGTGTACACCTGTATGTGTGGAATTTGCTAATATAACCGTTTCAATAAAAACCTATTGAAAAGGCTGTTTGTGTCACGTGGAATGCTCTCAGTGGTTGCAGGTGACAGGACACAGACTGGCTAAAGGATGTAGTAGGAAATAAAAATCCAAACCATGGTGGCCTCGTACACTCAAGAAATGGCTAGACGGGTGTTGAACCATGGCACACAAACTCTGACACACTGCAAGAACACCAACTACTACAGCTGCTTTGAAAGGGGTTCAGTGGTTGCTGAGAAGCCTGTCAATCCAGGGCGGATAGACAGCTCAGTGGTTAAGAGTGCCAGTCGCACTCCCTGAAAACCCGGTTCAATTCCCAACGCCCGCGTGGTAACTTCAGGGGATCCAACTACCTCTTCTGGCCTCCAAAGGTACTAGGCACACACATGGTGTGCAGACATGCAGGCAGAATACCCACACACATAAAATAAGTAAAATCTAAACTTTTTAAATCTAGAGAAAGAAGTCAAGGCTGGGTGTAGTGGTTCACACCTTTAATCCCAGCACTCAGGAAGCAGAGATGGGTGGATCTATGAGTTCAAGACCAGCCTGGTCAAGGAGTTCCAGGATGGATAGACAGGGCTACATTGAGAGATGCTATCTCAAAAAGAAGGAGGAGGAGGGGTCAGGAGGAGAAAGAAGAAGAAAAAGAAAGAAAGGAAGAAAGTATGGCTCTTAATTACTTTATTGATTCTCATCATACCCAAAAGACACCTTTTTTTTTTTTTTTTTTTGGTTTTTCGAGACATGGTTTCTCTGTAGCTTTGGAGCATGTCCTGGAACTAGCTCTTGTAGACCAGGCTGGCCTCACACTCACAGAGATCCACCTGCCTCTACCTCCCGAGTGCTGGGATTAAAGGTGCGCACCACCACTGCCCAGCTCATCCAAAACTTGTACACAGGGGCTGGAGAGATGGCTCAGCAGTAAGAGCATTTGCTGTTCATGGGGGACTGGGTTACAGATCTCATGTAACAAGACATGTACACTATGCACCCTTGTACCCCCAACTTGAGGAACCAGAGACAAGAGGATCAGTGGGGCTTCTGATGTCCAGCCTCGCTGAGAACACAGAAGCCTCAGACTCAAGGGAAGACCGTGCCTCAAAGAAATAGGTAATTTAGAGAAGACCCAGTGCCCTCCTGTGGCTTCCACACACATATGCAACAAGTGCACACAAACACACCTGCACACAAACATGCCACATACTCAAACACACACAGGGAAGTAAAAATCTTTTAACAGACATACACAGTGCTTCTGATAACATTATTAAGATCCAAAAAACTGAAACACCCATCAACTGATGGGTAAACACAATGTGACATATCCTTGCCGTGCAATATTCAGCCATAAAAAAAAAAATGCCACTGACATGCTACGACACGGGTGGATTTTGGATGTGTGGTGGTAAGTGAAGAGGACAGACACAATAGGACAGATTACTCCACTTACACCAAACACCCAGAAGAGGAAGATCATAAAGGCAGATTAAAGGTTACCAAAAGAAGATGGGAAGTAACTGACGGTGGGGACTGCAGGGGTTCCGTTCAGAATGATGAAGACGCTCTGGAATTAGATAATCTTGTTGGCTGCTAAATCCCGTGACTCCATCAAAACCTGAATTTTGCATTTTTATTAATGGTGTAGGAGATACTTCTGTATTTATGTTGCTTTCATTGGTTGAATAAAGATACTGCCTTGGCCTTTTGATAGGGCAGCCCTTAGGTGGGTGGAGTAGACAGAACAGAATGCTGGGAGGAAGAAGGACAGACTGGCAGATGCCATGATTCTCCTGCCCAAGATGGACGCTGGTTAGACTCATGCTGGTAAGCCACAGTCAAGTGGCGATACACATTAATGGAGATGGGTTAATCAAGATGTGAGAGTTAGCCAATAACAGGCTAGAGATATGGGCCAGGCAGTGTTCAAATGAATACAGTTTCTGTGTTATTATTTCGGGGGTTATGCTAGCCAGGCAGGGGGATGCAGCCCGCTCCCTTCATACAACGTATTAATGAGGTAAATTTTATAGACTATCAAATCACAGAAAATAAAAAGAACAAAGATATAGCCCTTTTCATATATTTCATAGCATATATTATGTGCTCAATAAATTTCCTTATAAAGAGTAGTCCTGTGCCAGGCAACAGTGGCACCCATGTTTAATCCTAGCGCTTGGGAGGAGGCAGAGGCAGATCTGTGTGAGTCTGAGGTCAGGCTGCTCTAAAAGTGAGTTTCAAGGCCAGGCAGTAGTGGCGCTTGGGAGGCAGAGGCAGGTGGATCTCTAAGTTCAAGGCCAGCCTGGTCTACAAGAGCTAGTTCCAGGACAGGCTCCAAAAGCCACAGAGAAACCCTGTCTCAAGAAACCAAAAGAAAAAAAAAGTGAGTGAGTTTCAGGACTGTTACACAAAGAAACCCTGTCTCAAAAAAGAAAAGAAAAGGAGAGAGAGAGAGAGAGAGAGAGAGGAACAGTCCTTACAGATTGGTCTCTTGGTCAGCAGCAGTACCTAGGAGCATGTTAGATCAGCAGCGACAAAGGCAGTGCCAGCATTCGCCTCAGACGTCCAAGATCCACCCATGTCATAGCATGCCAGTGGCTTCTATCTTACAGCTGAATATTGCATGGAGGAATACGCCACATTTTATCCATCAGTCGATGGACACTTCAGTCCTGGGGATCTTACGCATATTCAGATTTGACAACCTCTGAAATAAGGATAGAAAACCCTTTACTGCACTGCAGAGTGGTAACAGGTGCTTCCGAATTATTTTGAAATTGCATTCATTGTTTGTTTATGTGGAAGTCAGAGGACAACTTGCGGGAGCTGATTCTCTCCCACCATGTGGATTCTGGGATCAAACCCAGGCATCTTACTGGTCAAGTACTTCCAAGTTCTTTATTATTAATAATTTTATAGATTATTTCTGTGTGAGTGTGTTTTCATGCACACAAGAACACATGCTCAAAAGTGTGTGTGTGCTGTTGTTGCTGTTGCTGTTGTGTGTGTGTGTGTTGTTGCTGTTGCTATCAGCAGGCAGAAGAGGGTTCATATCTCCTGAAGCTGAACTCCCATCTTTTGCTGAGCCATCTCTCCAACCCCCTACTTGCAAATCCTTTTTTTTTATTTTTTATTCTTTTGAGACAGGATCTCTCTATGCAAAAAATCCTGGAATTTGCTATGTGGACCAGGCTGGTCTCAAATTCACATATCCACCTGCCTCTGCCTCTCAAGTCCTGGGGTAAAGGCATGTGCCACCATGCCTGGCTTATTTTCCAACTCTTGTGTGTATAATTCTCCAGAAAGCACAGTGGCTTCAGTTTACGCTTCCAGAACTCCTCTTTCCTGTTATTAGAACACACTGACGTGATAACGAGCACATCTAATATGTGCGAGGTGATGAGTTTCATTGTTTCCACACGTGCATATCATACTCACGCCCCCACGTAGTGATACGATTTGACAGCCAGGCTGGCTGACTATGTGGACTGTGTCAGGATAAACCCGAGTATGTTGCGCTTCGCGGTCTTAAGGAAAACCAGTCCCCAGAGCTTGAAAGCTGATGGAGTCACAAGCTGCAATTCAGAATCCACACAGGATGTCACCCGTTACATCTGCCGCACCCAAGACCGTGAATGCCAATGACAGCCCAGCTCAAAGGGCTGCCCATGCAGTTCAGCGCGCTGGCCTCGCATGTATACAGTTCTCAAGTTACATCCCCAGCACCACATAAGCCAGGCCTGGTGATGCATGCCTCTAATCCTAGCAACGGGGATGACTGAGGCAGGGGGATCAAAGAGTCTGAGATCATCCACAACTACACATAGAGTTTGAAGTTAGCATAAAATATAGATACTAGAAACCATGTTTCGAAGAAGACCTTAAAATTTGTTCAGACCTCCCAGAATGAGTCTACCTTCCTTCTTTTCACCCTCCTACCACATCCAGGTGACATGGGACATCTCGTACAGCTGTCTTCCTAGCCTTTACCAAAGTAAATATGGTTCACATCTGTTGTCCAGGCGAAGACAAGAGCCCTTTGAGTCAGAAACTGTCCTGTTCCTAATTGCTTCAGCGAGCTCTACTTGACAGAGCCCACAGTCGCTAATTTTGTCTCGAGGTTCAGCGGCAGGAGCCCCGGACTGGCATCTGAAGGTGGATTTGTACTGTGAGTGATTGCCGCCTTCAGGCCAGGAGAGGGAAGAACAGGGCTCTACGCTCCTAGACCATAGTGCGACTCGCTTATGCAAAAATGTGCCCAACGGTGACCCCAGCCTCCAGGCCACCCCAATCCATCTGTCAGATGGGGTGAGAGCACTTTCTTTCAAGGACTCCAGCTGCCTCAGAGCTTCCTGACAACTGGGTTCTTGAGGATTCCAACCTTAGACTTAAGTGTCAGAATTCGGGGTTGGCCGGGAGCTACTAAACCTTCTCCAGACGCTCTTTGCAACATTAACCCGCCTGGGCTGCACAGTTGGTCAAGAGCAAGTGATTCTCTCACCAACTGGACAGCGATGGCGGGGCTGGGCGGGACTGCGAGTGTGGCCGCCAGGGGGCGCCATCCTCCGGGACTGCGTCTCGACCCCGCCCCGG